TTAAACCCAAAAAGCAAAACAACATGTAGGCAGCATATAAACAAGGTCCATTGACTGAAAACGAATGTGAATTACTTTGCTATGAAGGTACAAAGAGAGACAAGCACTTCCTCCCTAAGAATTCCAAAGAAAATTTTATCTTAATAAAAGACACACAACTTGTTTTAGGTAAAATTATTTAATTTCACTCAAAATAGTTTCTCATGATTGTCTCTATAATCAAAAAAACTTCAATTCCAGTTTTGTGTAGATGATGACAGAAAATATCTTGAAATTCTCACTGCAGCTGGTGTTTTATTCTTAATTTAATTTTCACTTTTCATGTTTTTTTCATATCTGAATTAATATCTTTTTAATTTGTGATCACCACAATGGATCCATTAACCATATCATTAAAAAATGAATTTAATACTATATTTTGAAGCTGATTGTTGTTTTGTGGCTTGTGTAGGCTTGTTGTACTATACTTTTCTTGCTCAAAGCACCATTTAACATAGGGTTTTTCATGAACAACTTTAAACAGTGTGAGAAAGGTGTGTTTCATTAGGTGTACAATTTCAAATGGAAAATACTGATTAACCTAAACATCTAGATATACATTATGGTCGTTTCAATTCATTTATGTAAAAATACTGAAATTTTCCATAGTAGCTAAAAAAACTCCTTAGAGATATTTTACTACTTCTTAAAGTCCAGTGACATAGACCTATTCTGAGCTGAGCTTCAGCAGACTGGGATTAAATCACACACACTTTTCAAGCCAAATTCAGTTACAATAATACTCACTCATAGATCGAATTAATGTGGAAATGACTTAATAGTACAGGTAAAACTGTTTAACAGAGAAAAGTCCTTTCTAGTATCTTCATTTTCTGTGGTGATATGTTGTGTCCCTCTGGTTCTCAGAGTTGACATTATCAGATTTTTACTTCACTTTGTCTCTCCATCAAGCAACCTAAGCAGTGTGAATGCCTTATTCCCTAAATAATTATACTTTGAAGTTATTTAGACAGGCTTGAAAACATAGAACTTGTGGTTTCAAATGCATGTATAATCCATTTATTATGTAAATAACTAATAGAAAAATTGGAAAAAATACATCAACCAAGCAGACACTGTAGAAGAAATTGGTTGTGATCACAAGAAATTGTGTGGCAGCAGGACTCTCTAGGCCTAAAAGTTGACAATGCACAAGCAAGAGGATGACAGGTTGTCCTAGGGTGACGTTAGGATGCTTGTATCCCCAATCAGGTGTTCTATTTATGCTGGATATTATATACTATGCCTTCAAGACTGGCTGAGAGCAAAGGTGGGGAAAAGAAGAAGCATGGAGTTTTTTATCAGGGACTGGACTTACTCCTCCACAGTCTGCTGGAACAGAGAGCACACTGTTGTCGTCTGGGCACAGACAGGGCAGAACATCGTGTTCCTTTTGCTTTTTAGTTAGTTAGTTTAGCTAGCTGAGGGAGTCCAAGCTTTCCCTAGACTTTTTTCTTTCCATTTTCTTGGAACCATTTAAACCTGTTCCAGACCAGGACCCAGGGAAACACTGAGAGCTTGCACTTTGTAGCCTGCCGGGGTCTACTCTGAGCCACAGCCTTTCCCAGCACTGGAGGAACTGGTAACAGAGTGACCACCCACCAAAGAGGCTTTCTGAATTTGTCATCTCTTCAGAACAGTGAATGAGTTTTGTCATCCGGTATTGTTTTGTGTACTGGGGAGTGCTTGGCCTGCCAAATAAACAGTTTTTTTTCCACTTCTCTCTGAGGAAATCCTTCCCAAACCAGTTGGGGGGAGGGGTCATGTGGGTTTGCTTTCTGGGGGGGCCTCCTTTTGTAGGTTTTCTCCCAAATTTGCCCTAAACCAGGACACAGGCTGAGAAGATCCACAGACAGCACAGAGGTTCTGAGTTATTAGAAGAAGAGAGGTACAACTGCTGTGACAGTTTCCTACTCTGCCAGTGCTGCGTTGCCATTTCAAGGTTCCTTCACAAATCTGTCTGTATCTGCTGTCAATGTGATATACCCTACCACTTCCATATTAAGCCAGTATGGATAGAGAACTGAACCTCTGTTAATGTGCCTTCTCTCCTACAGCCTACATTTATTACAGTAGTAATAAATGGCTCCTGCCTGGCCTGAATCCCTGAAGTAGAGCCTGTCAGTTAACTGTGATTGCATTCAACTACAAGAGCAATTTATTTCTGATGCCCATCTTGGTTATTAATTCCCTGTTCTTTATTATTTAAGGCAAGCAATGGAAATTTTTTGTATACATAAAGTCTGTCTTCTCATTGTGGCCTAATCTTCAGATGTTATAAAGCATTGTTAACAACAGACCATATCTAGAAAACAAGCTAGAGAACAAACTTCTGTCCAGCTGGGTTGGTTTTGCATGGCCTGGGTTTTGGTAGTGGGGAGGTCACAGCTTCTGTGAAAAGCTGCTAGAAGCTTCCGCCATGTCCAGCAGAGCCAATATCTGATGGTTCTGAAGACAGATATGCCACTGGCCAAGGCTGGGCCAATCAGAAATGACGGTAATGCCTCTGTGATAACATATTTAAGAAGAAAATCAAAACAAAGTGGTGGCACAGTTTGAATTCCAGCTAGAGAAGAAGAGGAGGTGAGAACATGTTAAGGAAACAACATGGAGACAACAAAGTCAGTGAAGAAGGAGGAGGAGGAGGTGCTCCAGGAACTGAAGCTGAGATTCCTCTGCAGGCCACGCAGATCCACAGGGGTTGCAGAGATCCATTTGCAGCCTGTGAGGGAGGTGCCCATGCCAGGGCAGGTGGATGCCTGGAGAATGCTGTGATCCAGTGGAAGAGCCAGTTGGGAGAGGGGACCCCTGCGTTCAGGCTGGAGCAGCCTATCCTTGGAGGACTGCACCCTATGGAAGTGTGACCCATGCCGCAGCAGTTTTGGAAGGACTGCTGCTCATGAGAGTGGACCCATGCTGGAAAAGTTCATGAAGAACTGTCTCCCACGGGAGGAACTCCACAGTCTCACAGGGGAAGAACCCCCCCTCCCTGAGCAGCAGATCTCAGGTGACAAACTGACCAAAACTCCCCATGCTCTGTGTCCCTGCCCTGTCGGTGGGAAGGAAAGACGGTTTGAGGGAAGATGTTTTTAAGAGCTTATTGTACATCTCATTATCCTCCTCTGATTTTATTAGTAATAAATCTACTTGGTATCTCCAAGTCGAGCCTATTTTGCCCTTGGAGTGTCTTCTCCCAGTCCTTAACTCACGAGCACTTTCTTAATTTTTTCTCTCCTCTGCCCAGCTGTGGCAGGGGAGGGTAAGTGAGTGACTTCTGTGGGTGCCTGGCATTTGGCCAGGGTCAAACCAGGAAACCATAGTCAAAGGCAGAAAAGCAAATTATGTGGATCTCTTAAACCTTATGCAATCCACATGTATCAATCAGGATGCCACTTGAAAGGGATTAGATCAACCTTCCTTCCGCAAATTCCTGCTTAACCTTCATGTGGCAATCATTTCACTAAAAACAGTCAACAATTATGTCTGTGAAAGATGAAAAGTGTGTTAAACTGCAAAGTTTAATGTGTGAGATTTCACACCATCAGGACTTTATCTTCTGCAGCCATGTTTCACAAAACAAAAGGCTTACGGACCAGTATTTAATGAAAAAGTTGGAGATAATTCTGTTAGTTATAAACTATTGTCCAAGTCTGAAGCTAAGACTGGCCCAAGTTGCACCTAAGCTCTATGAGTTTAGAAAGCAAGAGGGTATAGTCTGAATTTGTGATTCAACAGGACAGTCTTCCTTACTCTTTTTTTCTCTGTAAAAATTCTAAAATTATTCTAACTAGATTTTTCTTTGTATGTTTCATCCATGATGGAGTGAATCTTTTCATTGAACTTTATGTCACACTTTTATAAAAGTATATTAACTTTTGCTAATACCTTTCATGATGATTCTCTGAGTGACCCTAAACCACATATTTGTGACAAATTGGCATAGTTAGCAGGATTCAAGATGAGAATTTGTGACACCTTGCTGCACTGGTTTCTCTAGGAAAATCTTCAGCTTATTTCTACAAAATTTATGAGGCCTAAGAGAAATACAAGGAGAGAATAACCTCTCCAGAAACTATTGCTGTATCTGTCATTATGCAGACCGAAGGTTATTTCTTTTCATTTTCTTCATAATGACAATTGAAAGAGAGTATCAAGGCATGTAAGCAGTATCCCAAGAATATTTCAAAATTAAATGTTAGAGAGGCAATTTAGCTGATCTGGGGATTTTGCAATGTGACAAAAGAACACCAGACAACCCTGGCAGACCAAAAAAGAACATTAGAAAACTAGTGTTGTTTTTTTGGTCTGTCAGGATTTGTCTCTGCAAATGCTGTAGTTTTGAAGGACTGCAAGGAACTAAAACCATTAAGGTAAAGGACACCGTCTATAGGAAACAGGCATGCTGCACATTTAATAGGTAAAGCAAAGTTTTCCTTCACTTTCTATTTTCTTGACCTATTCCAACCTTTGCATAAACCCAGGTGCACCATGCATTAAGCTGGGAGCCTGGCTACATGAGGTGCCCAGCCTGACAGAGAGCATCTTTCTCAAAACACTTTCGGTTGGCCAGCCCTTTCTGGGTGGCCTGGTGACAATGAGGCAGTGAAAAGGCCCCTCACGAAGCTGTTCGCTCCACCTTGTAACACGACCGTTGCTTTTCTTCCTCACCCCGCGTCCTCTGGGGCAGTGTCGGAGCTTGGCCCCTGCCAGGGGCTGATGGCGTCTGCTGCAAGGGCTCCTTTAGATTTGAAAAAGAATTATCTCGAGACAGCGGGACTGCGACCCATACAGACGAATTTTCACGTGTGTTCCGGGGGTGCCAAAGCATTTTCCAGCTAAGTTTTTCAGCCCGGATTGCGACGACCAGCACCGCAGCGGAAGTTAGCCCGCTCGGTCTGTGCCAGACCCTGCCCAATCCGCCGCGCATCCGGGGACGGCGCGGAGCTGTTGGGCGTGAGGCCCCTCCCTTCCCCCCGGGCCGCCTTCTGTGGCGGCGGGCAAGGGGCTGGGAGGGCTGGCGTCGCCATGCGATTTCGGGCTAAGATCGTGGATCTTGCCTGCCTCAACCACTTCAGCCGTGAGTATGTCGGGGCAGGCTCAAGGGCGGCAGTGCCTCTGTGAGCGGCTGGGGCCGGCTTTCTCGGACAAAGAAAAGAGGAAGGGAGGTGAGGACCACAGTGCTTATCTGGGAGGACGTGGCATGAGGCGCTTTCCTTCGCCCCGAGGTGTTTAGGAGTTTGCGAAGCAGCACGAGCTGCGTTTGTAAAAGCTGAAGGTTTTTCTGTCCCACAGAAACTGGGGTGCATGGAGTGATCACCGCTGTAACATCCTCCTCCCTCCCTCCGGCAGGTATAATTAACACAATCGTCAAGTTAGCCAAGACCTGCATCCTGCGTCTTACTGTCTGCAAGCTGTATTTCATCCTCTCCGATAAAGTAGCAAATGGAGGCGCCAGTATGTGGTGTGAGCTGAGCCAGGTGAGCCCAGGAAAGTTCAGAAACCACATTTTGAAAACCAGAGCATGCAATTGGGTTTGATGTACGAGGTATTCGTAGCCCTCACCTTCGATGTGCCAGGTCTCTCAAGGTCTGTCTGGGTGCACGGGTGTTTCAGGTTGGATACTCCCTTTTCCTTGATTGTCACTTCAGCGTAAAGCTTCAGTGTGTGCTGGCCCACATGGGCCTGCCCAAAACTGGAAACAAGAAAGCATAACTCGCTGTCTAATGGACTGATTAGGTGTTAGGGGAGTAGGTTAAATGGCTTAGCCTGAAGCAATGAGTTTTCAGGGTTGTGATTCCTCAGGTGATGTGAGGCAGAGCGGGGTTTCTGGTGTACAAATGCAGTTCTAATCTTAAGGTCCGATAAATAAAACTTGCCTCTCTTGTTTGCTTTATTTCCTGACTTTCAAAAATTGTAGGGGAATTTCTTCGATGAATTTCAGATGGAAGGAGTAGCTGCAGAGCACAATGAAATCTATTTAGAGTTTGTGCCTGAGAACCTATGGAGAGCATTAAAAACTGCCCAGAGTGCTAAGGCAGTGAAGATCAAGTTGACTAATAAACACTGTCCCTGTCTCAGAGTTGCTGTGGAGCTAGTAAGTGCAACCATGCTTTCACGTTCATTATTAAGAAAAAGTTCTGTAAAATTTAGTGCATTTCCTAAGATCAAAGGGTAATATATGGTATAATTCTAGAAAAACAAAGAAATATACCATTTTCCGTTTCACTAGCCTTTCTTGCCATCATGGTTGGTAGCATACAGAACCAGCTTTGTATTTTCCAAAAGGCAAGGAGGAAGTAGAAGAAGAAAGCTATGTTATTGGAACAAGTTTTTTTAATGTCTACTTTTCTCCATTCCTTCATCCTCTGTATCTTCTGCAGATTATTGACTTTTCATTGAAGCCATTAGGTGAAGGGGGTTTCAGTGTTTGGCTCTGTGTTTTGCCTTTGGTTTTCCTGATATTGTATGCTAACTTCTGATTCTTTCGTTGTTGTTAACTCTGCTGATTCACCTGTTCAGCTCTAAGGATAGCTTATAGATACACTAATGACTGATACATCACAAACTCTTCCTCATTTGAAAGGGAAGCCAACTTAAAAGCATATCGATAAGAACTGAGGGAAAATTGGAACTGAATGTTGGGCATGTAGTTATAGCATTTCCCAGAGCGGGTCTGAAAAATTTAAATTTAGAATTCCAATCTTGTGTTTAACTGCAAAAGCATCCTCTTTTTCCTTCAAGCCATCCTTATCAAGCTGCAGTAGGATTGTGACACATGACATTCCTGTGGGAGTTATTCCCAGAAGAATGTGGAATGACTTCAGAGAGCCCAGCATGCCAGACTTTGATGTAAGCTTCTGCTTTTATATTCCCTTCTGAAAGGGGAGTTTGCAAGTGGAGTGGTATTGCTATAGAGTATACTATGGTGGGGTTTGGAAAGGAGTGGAAAGAGGAAAGACTGGAGGCTGCAGTTTTGGAGGGGTATGGAACATGGCTTCTATCCTGACAAGAGAGCCCAGAATCTATGGAAACAGAGCAGGTGGTTGCCAATTGTTTCTGTGATGTTCATGGCAGAGGAGGGGAGGAGAAAAGGACTTGCATGGCTTTAGTCTGGAGCATCTCTAAACCACACAAGTTTAGACTGTTTCAGCTGTTCAGGTGCCAAATGACCCAAATAATCTTTTATTTCTGAAATCTATGGCCTATCTGGCAGAGTTAAAGATATATGTGTTGCCTCCTGATTTTGACTTTTAGCAGAGTTGTAAAGAAAGGTCCTCGTACAAATGTGCTCCTATTTGAGGTTATGAATGTCTTTTACCTCTGTAGCTAAGAGTAATTAGATTCTGAAGATGAACACAAGGAAACTTCCAGTATTTTTTATTTTATTTCAGATTTACACTACTGCAGTTCCAGCAATTACTGCAGTATATCATAGGAATGCTGTTATTTTCTTTTTGACTATATTAATTGACTATTTAGTAGCACAAATGTTCATGTGAGAGTCTGATCTGGAAAAACGTGCCTCTATTTTGAACATAGACTTGGAATGTTAAGTCTGGAACAATTGCTAGAATGATGGCCTGTTGGTATAATGGGAAAGAGTTCCTCTGTTCCTGAGACATTTGCTGATTTCAGATAGATATTGTGCACCCTGAAAGCCATAGATAATGCTGTCCAAGCTATGATAGAATTAAAAGTAGAAATAAATGTGTCCCAATCACATCTGAAGTACTTGTGCAAATGCAGTTCTTATGTATTCCTAGGTCAGTATTTACCTACCAGTGCTGAAAACAATGAAGAGTGTTGTGGAAAGAATGAAGAATCTCAGCAATTTCATTGTAAGTTAAGGAACTTAAAGCATATATGCTACAGATGTTATTTCATGAGGGACATAACAGGTTGCCTAAACTGGTGCTGCCACATAATCTTATTTTGAGATGACTTAGACATTGAAATCAAGGCACCCGAAGCCTGTGTAAAGCCTGAATAGAATGATGGGATTTATTTTAGGATTTACACTGAAGAACTTTTCCTGGGTTTCTCAGAAAGTGATGTTGTGTTAGGTGTCTGAATGAACTTCAGGTGAACCTGACAGGATTTAAAGGAAATGCTGCTAACAGCCCCCTGTGCTTTAGACTGACATGTTGGATTTGCAGTCTACCCTGGATTTCTAGAGTGCCGGTGGGCCTTTTAACTGAAAGAAGCCCTCTGCAGTCGGACAGAAAAGGGCTTTGGTTTTTTATTTAGTTGTTTGTTACAGTCATCATAACTGACTGACATGAAAGTTAGTAAGTAAATGTAGAGCTTTGAAGTAGTTTGGGTTTGATACTGTTCATACCAGTTTTGATAAATAGGAAATTTTCTGTTAACTGAGAATCCTGAAATTGGAACCGTCTCAATTTTTCAAGACTTGGAAGAGTTGAGAGATTACCCTGGGTTACTGGCAGTTTCGCAGATGGCAGCCATCCTGCAAATACACATCAAACTCTTTTCTTTTGTGAGATTTTTTGGGGGCTTTGTTTTTATTTCCTTTCCTTCTCCCATGTCCTTGATGAATATGCTTATGCAAAATTGAGCACAGTGCTTTTGTTTAGAGCTGAGGATCTTTTCTCACACAGGATAGTTGTATGATGGGATTGAACTTATACTAAGTGCCTTGCTTTCATGTTGTTAGAAAACAAAATCATCAAGTGTCACAATTAATTATTTTTGCAAGATGCATCCTGGTAATAAAACTGGTCAAGATCAGTGCTGCAAAATGGGCTTAGAAGCAATTTCTGATAGTACTTGTCCATTGTCCATTGTTTGGAGCCATTCTATACAAGATTCTGGTTGCAGTACAAGTCTTTTTTTTTTTTTTTTTTAATTACTGAAAATTCATCTAATCACAGAAACAAAGTGCTTAGTTGTGCTTTAGGAATCCTCTGATCTGCTTGGGATTTGTGTAACACCATATATAGTCTCCTTCAAATTCCTTCTTCCAGTTTACAGGATGGAATTTGAAAGCTTTTAGCACTTTTCCAGGATTTCTGTCAGTTCAAAGTCCTTCTTGGAGTTACTGATCTGATCCAGTTGTTGTCTATTTTGAATTCTTGAAAGCAGCACTGAAAGCTCCTGGTGCATCCCCTTTTCTGTGTGTGTCACATAGACTGTGTAGGTGCCTTTCTGTTTGTTGAATAACTGAATGAAAATTCTGAAATCTTTGCATTTCTTCAGCTTCAGTCTCTTATTTCTGAAGTCTTTTCCTCAGCACATGAACTTCCCAAAGCTAATACTTGTTCTAAAAGTACTGGAGAACAATTAAATTTCTTTCTTTTCATAACTTCTGAAAGTTTGGTCTAGAGTAATTCACATGGGAATGATGGGGAATGCATTTTATAGCTGAACATTCAAATGTTCAACCATTTTCAGAAAGTATGGTTGACTTGTACTGAAGTACTCCTGGAAGCTTGTATTTGAACAAAACCAAACTGTATTTTTCTGTAATTCTGCAGTGGGAAAGTGGGTTGCCTAAAACTGAGATTGATTGCAGGTGATTGAAGCAAACTTGAGTGGTGAAATGAACTTGAAAATAGAAACAGACTTAGTATCTGTAACAACACATTTTAAAGACCTGGGAAATCCTCCCTGGGGTAAGTTTCCCTGTTAACCTCTTGTGTCTGTCTGATCTCATTACTTCTGTGTTGCTTATAACAGTACTTTTTAACCTTTATTCTTTAGAAAATAGCATCAAGTACTTTGAAGTCTTCAAATGAAATCTTAAAAAATGGAGTGGCCAGTGGAGTGTCTGTTTCATGTTTGGGGTGGTGGTGGGGAATCTCTTCCATTATTCTTGACAGTTTGATAGGAAAACTGGGATTTCTTTTCCTTGCACTGCTCTGAAAAACGAGCCAGTTGAGTTCCAGCACTTCAGCTGGATGGTATGTCCTTATGGGTGTTGAAACTACTTTTCATGTTTGGACTAAGTGTTGTGTTCTTACTCTTTTAGCATCAGAGGACGGATGTCAAAGTTCTGGTCAAGGTAGAGATCTCGAAAGTATGGCTGAAGCATGCATAGACATCAAGAAGCTGCAGCAGCTGCTTGCTGGACAGCAAGTCAATCCTACAAAAGCATTGTGCAGTAAGTTCAACAGCTCTGCTTGTGAACTCCAGTACTTCACTACTGAAGCTGAAGTAGTAGGGTCGTTTGCCATACTTAGTTTCAGCAGAATATCACTCTTCATTTTTGTCTGTCTGAAAGTCAGTATTTTTACTGTACCTGAGGACTTCCAATATTTATATTTTTAGGCAGTTAGATTCAGGTCCTAGGCATTTGGGAAAGAAAAAATAAGTCAGGCTGTTTTAAAAGTCTCAAGCTGAATACTCAGACTCACTAATCATGTGTGTTGTCTTCTTGTCTTTGTTTTAAAGTTGTTATTAATGTTTATTATTATTTTGAGATATTATTTTTTGAAAATCCTAAAGCCTCTAGCTTCTAGCAGAGAAACTGGAATTTACTGGCATGTTTTTTTGGTTGTGTTTTTTTCCCTTTGTTTTCTTACACTGATTCTAATACTAAAATGCTTTTTATACACCTAGTGGTTCTAGCCATAGAAAACAATACTTCCTTTCTAGCTGAAGTCTATGCAGGGGTTTATATCCTATTTTTATAACTGTGCTTTTCCTGAGAACATCTGTTTGTTATGGTTTAGTGCAGATACTAAGAATTTCCCAAGGAAGATTTAAATAATTGGTGTAGCATTATAAACCTACACACTATATATTTACTTTTTGGTATCATCTTTCGTAAACTTTTAATGCTTCACAGACCCTCAAGGATTTAAGTTTTCTAGTTACCCCTCTGTCAGAAGTGGTAGAAGCATTGCTTTTATGGTAACATCCTTAAAAGATGTAATTTTAAAATATTTTTCCTGCTCTGAGGTGAATTTGTGTTTTATTTTTTTTCCTCACAGATATTGTACATAAGAGAATTGTCCACTTCATCTTGCTCCATGAGGAGGTTTCACTTCAGTATTTTATTCCAGCAATTGCCTGAGTGTTTTGGAATCTTGGTAATTTTCCAGCCTGAGGCCTCTTTCATGAAGTCTGAAATCTTTCGTGAATTGCTGGATTATTCTGATGTGAGACACTGTTAGATGCAGCCATCAGATGGACATTATTTCAATATTTATGGAAATGTTCAAAATTCCTCCTCGTCCAGACAGCCATTTTTTGCGAATAGTTATATGCTATGAAAGACACAATGCTGGGGAGCATTGGTATATCTTACTCTTAGGAGGAGCAAAACAGAAATTTGTCTTAGCTACAGTTCAAAACATTCCAAAAGCACACTGAATTAAATACTTCAGTCTTCTCAAAAAACTAAAGGTAGAATTCACCTCTGGAGCTGCTGTTGTGTGTATTCAGTATTGAGCAATGCAATCCAAGTTAAGGGATCTCTGAGCAAGCTGTAATACCTCCATGAAACAGGAGAGCCTTCTGGAGGGGTGCCTGATTGGTATTTGTCTGGTCAAGTATGCACAACCCTCCTGAAGTTGTATGGAATTGAATTCTGTTCCAGTAGGAATCTTTTGATTACACTTGCTCCAAAATATCTCAGTAGCTCTGTTCATGCTTACTCTTTGTTTAACTCTTGGCCTGGGAGGATGAGCAAAACAGTCTGAATTACTTTGTTAATGTGGGCAGTGAAAATCATTATGTACGGAATGAATATCATATGAGGATGTGTGAGCAGAGCAATTGGTGTGAAATAAAGAAAAAGTTATCCATGGATCACATTTTTTCCCCTTCTGGCTAGAAAACATTGTACAACCTGTGTTGTCATGGTGTCAGACGTGGTAAGATAGGCAAGACCAGGAAGTGTGAGCTGGATGAGCAGATGGTGAGGTGGATTGAGTACAGGCTGTATGGCAGGTCTCAGAGGGTTCTGATCAGTGGTATGGGGTCTAGCTGGAGGCCTATGCTCTCATGCCAAGCAGCCAAGAGGATACCTGAATTTCAGTCGTAGGAGTACTACCCCTGCTTCTACCTCCTGGCTATTTTCTGAGGTATTTTCCTCCTTATTCCATGTGTGATTTATTTGTTACCCTGGCATGTACCATACAGCTTTTTTTTAGTGATTGAGTCTATGCTGCCAAATGAGACTGGGAGTTTCTTCTATAAAGTAGCTTGTCATGGTCAGAAGTGCTGGGTTTTTGATGGGTTTTTTTTGATGGTTTTTTTTTTCGAGGGGCATTGACATTAAGGGAGCAATGAATCTTTTGTCCATGGAGATGCAAATGCTCAAGAGTAGGCTCAAGGAGAGGCAGTGGCAATTGAGAAGGTAGAATAGACTTGCAGTGATGAGTATGTTTTGACTGACTGTTTATAGACCTTTCTACCTACTCCCTCTTTGTTCCTCCCTGCTCTCTCTTGCCCTGCACATTGCCTCATCAGTTGTCATATTTCCACCCACTGCTTGCAACATGCTAAGGTTTGCATCTTTACTATTTGCAAAGTCCCATTTTGCCTATGTTGTGAGTTGACCTTGGTAAGCTGCTGCTCGCTCACTCAGTCACACCTGGTGGGATGGGGGAGAGAATTGGAAGGGTAAAAGTGAAAAAAATCATGGGTTGAGATAAGGACAGCTTAATAGGCAAAGCAAAATACGGAATTCATTCACTACTTCTCATGAGCATAGGTGTTTAACCATTTCCAGGAAAGCAGGGCTCCATCATGCATAACACTTACTTGGGAACACAGACTGCATAACTAAATGCCCTTTTCTTCCTCCTTCTTTTGCCTGAGATGAATGCGATCCTGTATGATACAGATATCCCTCTGGTCAGTTGGGGTCAACTGTCCCAGCTGTTTCCCTACCAATTTCTTGTGTGCTTCCAGCATATTTGCTAGTGGGGCAGTATGGGGGACTAATGCCTTGATGCTATATAAATGCTGCTCAGCAATAATAAAAACATCGCTGTGTTATCAGCACTGTTTTGATCATAAATCCAGAACATAGCACCATATGAGCTACTATGAAGAAAAAAATTTCTATCACAGCCAAAACCAAGGTAGCCTGCTGTTTCTTGATAGCCCAACCAACAATTAATGCAAACAGATATTTTCAGTTCTTTTTTTTCTGGTTACTGTCTTTGTTAATGCTAATCAATCAGGGTTTATATTTGTGTTTGCCTCATTTGTTTTCTTTTTCTCATCCAGTATAGGATGTGATCAATCACATAACCATAGAATAAATACTCTAACACTTTCACACCGATACCTCCTAAAATACTCACATCACTTTTGTGTCCCTTGGTGTCCATGTTTTTGGTTTCTTCCTCATAACCCTTTTTTGGTATGGTATGGAAACTTATAACCTTCTCTTGTTTTTCTTGCTTTTTGGTTACACACTGCATTGCTGATCCTTATTTTTATGCTGTATTTGAAAAAGCCTTTGCATATAGTCTGGTTTTTTCAACGTCATAGCAATTAAAAAAGAATGACATTTTGATTAGAAAACGAAAACAGAGGGTGGTAAAGAGCTGTGGAAAAATGTATTACTCTCCTTTCTAAGAAAAAGCTGGGAACAAGTAATGGGCCACAGTTAACCCTTGCGAGAGGGTTTTTCATAAATGACAATTCTCAAATGGGCAGATTGCCATGACTAAATGTAAGACTGAAATGATTTCAACACTGTATGTATGCTAAGGAAAAAATACTGTTTCCAGAGCAAGCATCATGAATGACCCAGTTAAAATCATTTAGGCATAGACTCAGTTATGTTGCACGCATAGTAGGTGGCTAAAAAGCTATGTGATCTTGACTTAAATATCTCTGCTTCAGTTCTTCATACGTAAAACACTTTCTGCTATACAACTGGGTGCAATGTGTGATGAATAAATGCATGAAGGATTTCCAGTGCACTTGGCTTGTCTGATAGAAGCTTAAATTCTAGCCTTCTTATTAATGCAGGGACATCTTTATGTCAGGAAAACAAACTATGTTAGTGTGTGTAGGCTAGTGCCATAAATGTTTGGTTCTTCTTTGTTTAGACTGGTATGATGCATGTGTTCAACTCTTACATAATAATTAATCTTCTGCTTTGTGATGTACTATTCACGACAATCTTAAGCGACAGTTTATTGTGGTTCACTAATGGACTGTTGGACTTTCTATCTTTTCATACCAGATCATTGGCTAATTAGTTAGGGTTTTTTAACACTTAACAGATTTATATTTTATGAACTTCAATGGTTTACTGTCATGTCATAGCTATGGAAGAAGCCAAATTGCAGATGATTGCTTCTACAATGGGATAACTGGCTGGATAAATGAAGGGAGAACAGTGAATGTGGACTTCTTGGGCTTCAGCCAGGCTTTTGACACTTGTCTGCCATGACATTCTGATAGGCAAGACCAGGAAGTGTGAGCTGGATGAGCAGATGGTGAGGTGGATTGAGGACAGGCTGTATGGCAGGTCTCAGAAGGTTCTGATCAGTGGTATGGGGTCTAGCTGGAGGCCTATGGTGTCCCCCAGGCGTAACTATTGGATCCAGAAGTGGCCAATAGTGCAGAATGTTGTGCTGCCATTCAGAAGAATCTTGACAGGTTGGAGACTTGTTCAGAGAAGAACCTTCTGAAGTTCATCTAAGGCAGAGCAGGGTCCTACGCCTAGGGAAAAAGAACTGCATGCACCAGTACCGGCTGGGTGCTGACTTGCTCTGGAGCAGCTCTGGAGAAGCGGGTCATGGTGTTCAATAGGCTGCCACAGTGTGTCCTTGTGGCAGAGAGCCACTGATATCTTCAGGGTGCATAAGGAATGTGGCCAGGAGGTCATAAGAAGTGATCCTGCGGCTGTACTCAGCCCTGGTGAGTCTGCATCTGGAGTGCTGTGACCTGTCCTGAGCTCCTCAGTATAAGACATGGAGTTCCTGGAGCAAGTCCAGAGAAAGGCAGTGAAGATGAGGAGGGTATGGAGCACCTCATTCATGAGGAGAGCCTGAGGGAGCTGAGACTGTTTGGCCTGGAGGAGAGCAGACTGAAAAGGGATTTTATCAATGTCTGAAGTATTTGAAGGGACATAAGATATAGGACCAAGGCTCTTCTTGGTGATGAGCAACAGGATGAGAAGCAATGGGCAGAAATTGGAACAGAGGAAGTTTCACCTGAACATGGAAAGTAACTTCTTTTGATCACTGGAATAGGTTGTCCAGAGAGGTTGTGGAGACTCCTTCCCTGGGGATATTCAAAAGTCATCAGGACATATTCCTGATTAATATGCTGTAGGGAACCCTGTGGGAGCAGGGAGATTCAGCTAGGTGTCCCACTGTGGTCTCTTACAACCTTATCCATTCTGTGATTCTGTGATCCCTGCAAAGCTCGTCTCCCCCAGAGATCATTTGGATTTGCTGAGTCAGACATTCAAGGGAATTTTGGACAAGAGGGATGCATTCCGTAGTGTAGGAGACCTGGAATACGTGCAACATGTTCTTTTCTTCATTCCAGTCTGCAGATACCTTTTTCCAATCATACTTGGGAAAAATGTTTAAGAAAGCAGAGATAAGGAAAACCATTGTGATTCATTAAATCTCCCCCATAAAGTGTGTCAGCCATGATGGCTCCAAGTCTTTCCAGAAATAATTCAAACTATCTGCTACTGATGCTGTTAAAGGCAATTTTGGGGTTTTTTTTCGTTTCTCAGAGAACAGTAGTCTTTTCAGTGAAGCTTTTCTGTCTGCCTTATAGTCTCTCTGCCTCTGGGAGATAGGCAAGAGGTTTTAAACTTACTCTATATGTATCATATATCATGTGTCTTCAGTACAGTTTCTGTAAGCAGGCTTCCATTCTGAGTCTTTGAACATTTCCCCTTATTTGCAAATTCACCAAGTCCTTCACGTTAAAGACTCAATGCTTGAAAATCTGTAAGTTTCCATGACTGAAATTGCAGTTGGCTTCAAACGGACAGTGCAGAAGGTAGTTGTCCTAGGGGGACTTTATGGTGCTTGTATCCCCAATTGTCTGTTCTGTTTATGCTGGATTTTAATTTCTGCACCTTTAAGACTGGTTCCGAGAGTGAAGCTGGGGAGAGAAGAAGCACGGAGTTTTGTTTTCAGAAACTTCACTTGCTCCCGTGCATTCCTTGCTCTCTCTCAGTGTGTGTTGTCCTCAGCATGGACAGGGAGTGGGAGAAAGCTCTCCTTTGCTTTTACTTAGTTTTTAACTAGCTGAGGCAGAGAAGTTCCCCAGACAATGGCTTTTCTTTTTCTTGGAACTGATTGGCCCTGCTCTGGATTGAAAACCCAAAAAACCACCAGGAGTTTGTGCCTGTGGCGCACTGGGGCCCAGGATGCAGCATTTTCCAGCTCAGGAGGGACTGATAAGAGACTGAGTGAGCCGAGCTACACCCTTATGACAAGGACTTTCTGAATTTGCCATCTCTTCAGAACAGCGAGAGGTTTTATTGTTTAGTATTATTATTTTTTTCTGCTTGTGAATACTTGGCAGTTTTTTCCACTTTTCTCCAAAGAAATCTTTCCCAAACCAGTTGGGAGAGGGGCTGCTTGAATTTGGGTTCTAGAAAAGACCACTTTAAAATTTTCCTCCCAAATTTGTCCCAAACCAGGACAATAGTGAAGGCAGATGGAAGATAGGCCCAGTACAGGGGAAATGAATTATTAACTCCCTCAAGTATGGTATATGTTGCTAGAGTTGTTAATATTTTAATATGACATGGCCACAAAAAGTTATTTCCTTCTTTCTACAATAGCCTGTGAGTTGCAAGGAATGAATATAGTTACAGAGAGGGGAGAGGAGGCTGCAGCGACCCTATTCACTTGGATTTTTCTTTCACACAAAACCACTTTGTCACAACTAGACTAGTTGACAGATGAACTTCACAACTAGACTAGTTGACAAATGAACTTTTATTTGGTTCAATTGCACTGATGGAATGGAAATCTCATTACACTCAGAAAGGAATGCTCTGTCTGATCACCACCACTGTAGGCTCGAAGTACAGAAAAGTAATCCCTCCCTGTAGTTTTTTTATGTCCTCAAACAAAACATCTGTACAATATATGTGTAGGATGTTGGTTTTACAAAGGACTTCAACTCATTATCTTTTCTAGCCCAGTTAAAACATGCTTATGAAGTCCACTGATTTTAATAATAATTAAGGAAAACTTCAAGTTAAGGATGAATTTATTGCCAGTCTAGATATTTTAGCCATTAAGATCCTAAATACTTCAGCACAGAAATGCAACATAATTTTTGACATTTCCCTCATTTTTTAACCACACCCACTTGACTAAATTAATGTTGCCACATGTGGATGACACTTTTGTAACTAACTCTCCTTAGTTTCAACTTATTCCTTTCCTATTCCTCCAATAAATAAGGTATAGATATAATATATATCTATAGATATATATAGATACTTACATAGATATAAGTGAAAAAAGTAACAGTTTACCAACAAGTGAAACAGCAATAGGCAAAGCCCCCTCAAAACAACAAACAACCCACCTCTGAAGAAAGTAAAAAAAATCTACAAAATTGCTAAGTCTTGTTGAAAGGAATGAGAAGGAGGTGTCTTTACAAACTGTGGGCCTGATGGTAGATAAGGCCAGATATGGAGAGATTAAAGAAGCAATGGGAGGAACTACAAATTCCATAGGAATTCCACTAACTGACACAGACTGTTACTCACTCAAGACTGTGCTACATCTCTGGATTTAGAGAAAAATAACAGAGACACAAGGAAAAAGAAAAATGGGGTGTCGGGGGGGAGTATGTGTGTATACATTAAAAGGGGTTATTAGGCGTTTCGGGAAGTCTGTATCTCTCAAGTACCTCAGCCAATGGAGAAAGGGGGAGGTGAATATGGTGGGGAAATTGGCATAAAAGGGAGGCTGCATCCTCCAAAAATTTTGAGACACCCCATGGGGAATGCCTCATGACCTCTCCCTTTTTTGAATAAATTTACAGGACTTCTCTGTCTCCTTTTTGGACATAAACCTCTGGTGCTTGTGGATTTTCCTGACATCATGAACTCCATGGGAAAAACCAGACACCCAAAATGGCAGGGTACCATTCCCTTCCAAGATCGTGACCCTCACTGCCAACAGTATGTAGGGAGACAAAGGGAGAAATTACGTCAGATTCTCCCCTCAAGATGGTGCCCTCCAGGCTACCACGTGGCTTGAAAGACAGGGAAAAATCACGTCTCTAGCCCAAGATGTTGCTCCCCAGTCGACCTGGGAGTTTGGAAGACAAAGGGGGGAAAAAAGGACAGCAGTCAAAAAGAACTCTCTGGTGAAGGTAGGAGCCTATGAAGCAGTTCTAGTGGTAGATAGGAATTCTTGGCACATGTGGATTCAGCTCCACTTCCCGCTGCTTCGTCCTGCTGCCTGCTGGACTCCACTGATGTTGGTGGTTCTGTTCTCCATACTGCAAGTGTGTCAGGCGGGGGGTTGGGGCATGGGAATAACCTGACATCCACGTCGGGTGGCCCAGCCCCAGGGACCTGCTTAAGCATTTGCGGCATATGGAGCTTGCAAACTTCCTTTGAAACAGTTCATAATTATCACATGCAATTTTTCTGAGTCGCTACACTTGCAAGCCCAGAAACTTGCCTGTTGTATTGCATGAACTAGTTTGTTCAGTTGTTGTTTTACACTGGGTGATTGGAGATTTGCACTGAGTAGTCTTTATATTGAACTGAGTAGTTTATGTTATATCACATGGTTTGTTCTTCCCCTCTCTTATCACATGGTTTTTCCCTCTCCCCAGTATCCCCTGGTGGTGGTCTCTCCCTGGTCAGTCCCTCCCCTTGCCCCTCCTCACTTGTATCCCATTGGCTGTAGTCTCTCTCATCCAGGCCCCTTTCCCAGTTCATAAAACCCCCTAGAGGCAGGTGGCTGGC